CAAAAGACCCAAATATCTTTGATCCCCTGCAAATGTATTTGTAGTCAAATTCAGTATTGAAGAACAACTGAATCTACAGTCACTAAATACAGCTGATTGTTACCCTCCCATGAAAACACCATGTGCTTTATGCCAAATAGAAGTCAAACACCTGACTTTTTAGCACCTCCCAACATAGCACCACCCATTACAAAAAGATATCTAAAGTGAAAACAAAGTGCATGTGAACACAGAACCACATCAAAATTGGAAAACTCAACTATTCCTCAGAAAGAACCCTACAACACATATTTCACAAAACACCCTAAACTCCATGAAACCCTAAACATTCATCACAAACTTACGACCAGGTGAGACAAACCTGCTATTCGAAAGAAACACAATGAGGCTTCCAATGCTTCCAGAGAGGCTTCTTCGAGGGAAAGGGGTTGCACAAAACAAACCTTATACCTGAAAATAAAATAATAAAGTTATAGATGATGCTTAGAGAATTTATTCAGGGGCAGGGGATTCAGGGGCAAGGGCTCATGGGTGCGCATGGTAAGCAAATCAAAGAAAAAGGTTTCAGTTCATGCTTACAGAGGGTTATTCAGCAGCAACGGATTTAGGGAAAAGGGCGGGGCAAGGGTGGGGCAACAGCGGAGCAATGGCGGCGCAAGGGTGAGGCAACGGCAGGGCAACAGCGGGGCAATGGCAGGGCAACGGCGAGGCAAGGGCTCATGTGCGCGCTGGGAAAGCAAAGGGTCTCAATATTCAGGAGAAAGGGATTCAGGGACTGCGCGCGCGGGAAGCAAATTAAGGGGCAACAGCGGAGCAATGGCGGCGCAAGGGTGAGGCAACGGCGGGGCAACGGCGGGGCAATGGCAGGGCAACGGCGAGGCAAGGGCTCATGTGCGCGCTGGGAAAGCAAAGGGTCTCAATATTCAGGAGCAAGGGATTCAGGAACTACGCGCGCGGGAAGCAAATTAAGGGTCTCAATATTACATCGGTCACTAACTTAACCGATGTAGATATTTTGGTGTTTTTGGCTTATTTACAAAAATGCCACCGTGTTTCTAATACTACATCGGTTCCTTCCAAAACCCGATGTAGATTATTGTATTTTTACATCGGTCTCACGTAAAACCGATGTAAATATGCTTATTATTATACAGCTAATTACGATAATGCCACCGTGCCTTATTTTTACATCATTTTTTTGTTAACCGATGTAGATGTCGTGATGTAGATTTGTATTTTTGTAGTAGTGCTAGGAGAAGAGATTTTCCTAATGCTAAGGCTTAGAACTTGGTGACTTTGGGAGAGCACTTTGGCTGAAGTGTATTCAGAAAATTATCATATATCATCAAAGTGATTACATAAGGGTGAAGGTGTCAATATATAGGCCAAATGAGCAAGCTAGTGGCGTTAAATTCAAAGGACCATCTTTGGCGCCAATATTTGAATTTCAAATGGAATTTGAAATTCAAATTTTGGTGTACCATGTGCTCCGCCGAAATTTATGGCAACTAGCATCATCTAAGTTGCATTTGAGACTCATTTGATGTGTATTTAGGTTGCATATGTTCAGCTCATATAAGCTTAAAACATGTGACCTAAATTCATGTCAAATGACACCTTAATGAAACTTAAATTTAGCCTAATTGACTTAATATTGAAAACCTTCTAAATTCCTAATCTAATGGCCTAAATACAATGGCCAATCAAATACAATATAAAGGAAAAATTACAAGGATTAAAATGAGCCCAATATTGGGTACCAAAATCCCAAAGGCCCATGAAGCCCAAAACTAAGCCCAATAAGCCTATGGTCCAAAATGCTACTCTATGTGGTCCAAAATACAAGACCAAATTATATGAAACCTATACTAATATAAAAACAATGAATACATCAATATGGCCCATGTGAAACTCATATTGGGCCTTCAAAGCCCATCGGGCCCATTCGGTCTTGACGGACCCAAACCTCCATGCCTAGCCCATTCCTCTTGGATCTTTTAAGGTGTCACCTCTTGCCTTCCTAGGCATGATTCCGTCAGTGAGTCTCCTCTAAGTCCTTAGCTAGTGTTGGAGCGGGGTATGAGGTCAAGGGTTATTCCTTTAACCAAGTATTCGGGAAGGTGCATGGATCCTTGCGGATAGTCGGTGGGCGAACTCCACAATTGACTTGGTAAATGCATGCCAAGGTCGTGGTAAGCCCGTACCCAGCTGTGCTATACCTGACGAAGGATCTGGACTTCCAATTGCGTAAGTGACATCATCCGAGTAAACCCGAGTGAGGATTATATCCTGTTTAGCTATGACTGAGCGGACGCATTGGGCGTGAAAACGGTTGGGGTGGTTTCGATAGGATGGAATGTCACTTATACAGCTCTATTGTTAGGGAGATCTCCTAGGTTTATGCGTGACGATGCATTAGATGATTGATATGCATTGATATCTGTCATGAGATGCATTTATTGCATTATTGTTAATATGATGAAGTGTGTGGTGTTTGGCTTCATGATTGGTGGATTGTATTTTATGCATGAGTAGTATTGGATAGAGTGTATGGTGTGACTCTATGAATATATGATTGTGTAGTATAGATTATTATTCTATACTTGTATGATTGATTTTTGAACTCTAGCTTACCTTTCAGTTTCCATGTGGATGGACTGCGATGATCATACCTTGTATGGGAGCAGGACAGGACTAGCTTGGAGTTGAGATGACCGTTGCGAGACAGGGAGTTTGATCCTCGTGTTAGAGTTACCATTTTAGGTAACGGTTTTGTCTGTGCTTGACTGGCACTAGGGTCATATTATTTTTGGGATGACTGTACATATAAGGTGTTTTATTTTGTATACAGAAACTTAGTTATTTTTATTCTTATATGTACCTGTATGTATGAGTTATCTAGCTTAATATTTCTCTTAGTTCACTAGTAGTAGTGCGATTCCACTAAGTGTAGAGACCATGGCGGGTCGTTACACTTTTATGGTATCAGAGCCGGTCGAGTCTTTTGGGATACTCTGTGGGGAGTGATCCTTCTAGGTTTCTGTTGTGTCATATCTCTGATATATGTTAGTATTGGTGAGTTGTAGTGGTGAAATGTTACTAAAAGAATGTTTTGGATTCTTTTAGTATGGTGAGGCCTTAGTATGACCAGATTGCTAGGGCCATGGAGATGATGGCCATGGTAATGCAACAGTAGAGTGCTCACTTTGCTCAGATGGAGGCGGGTAGAGCTGCGGCTGAGGCAGCTAGACCAGTGGTCTCTCAGGATGGGAGAGATTTAGCAAAGTTCAGGAGCTATCAGCCTCCTCAGTTCAAGGGGGATTCAGATCCTGATGTGGCAGATCAATGGTTGAGTGATATGAAAAAGATCTTCAGTGTTCCGGGGTCTTCTAAGGAGAGGAAGTTGGCCTATACATGCTGGGGGTGAGGCTGAGTATTGGTGGAAAGGCACCAGGCAGATGATGGAGAGTAGAGGTGTGGTTATAGATTGGGATTGCTTCAGGAGAGTTTTCTTAGAGAAATATTTCCCGGACAGCGTTAGATACACTAAGGAGGCGGAGTTCATGAGGTTACAGCAGGGCAGCTTGTCTGTTTCTGAGTATGTTATGAGGTTTGAGCATCTGAATCGTTTCTACTCTCAAGCCATATCTAAGGCTTGGAGATGTAGGAAGTTTGCAGAGGGGTTGAGGCATGAGATGAATAGGGTTATAGTCCCTATGTCCGTAGTGGAGTTTCCTGCCTTAGTTGAGAAGGCAAAGACAGTTGAGAGACAGGAGGGTTTTAGGGTGAGGCACAGTCAGTGTAGTGTTATAGATGTGGAGAAGCCCACATGGATAGAGATTGTTCCCATTTGAGGAATGTTTGCTTCAGATGTGGCAGGCCAGGCCACATTTCCAGAGATTGTCAGATGCCACCGACTCCATCTAGGAGTGCCCCGAGGCCAGTCAGGCCTATGGTTGCGGGGAGAGTGTTTTCTTTATCAAGTGTAGAGACTTTCAATTCATCAAATTTGGTGAAGTGGAAGGGGAAGGCAGCAGGTGAGGATGTTTTGTTCCTGTCTGATTCTGGTGCCACACATTCATTTATTTCTATTGATTGTGTGGGGAGATTGGGTTATCGATGTCTGCATGGCATGTTGATTTTTCTGTGTCTACTCCAGCTTCAATTTCTGTGGTGACTTCAGAGATGTGTGTGAGATGCCCGATAGAGGTGTTTGGTAGGAGGTTCTGAGTGAACTTGATTGTGTTGCTCATGGTAGATATTGACATATTCTTAGGGATGGATTGGTTATCTGCACATCACATTGTTATAGATTGTGCTCGAAGAGAGTTGGTATTTCCTTAGTTGGAGGATGAGATGTTATTGTCAGCGGGTCAAGCTGAGCATTTGATAAGAGATGGAGCTGAGTGCTTCATGTTGTTTGTCATTTTGAGTGTTGAGACGAAGAGGGCCATCACTGGGATTGAGATTGTCAGTGAGTTTCCTGAGGTGTTCCCAGATGATGTGCCGCGATTGCCATCTATGCGTGATGTTGAGTTTAGCATTGATCTGGTACCAGGTGCAGGACCAGTATCAGTGGCTACTTATAGGATGGCTCCAGCTGAGTTGGTAGAGTTGAAGAGACAGATTGAGGATTTGTTAGAGAAACAGATGGTGAGGCCCAGTGTTTCTCCTTGGGATGTCCTGGTACTATTAGTGAAGAAGAAGGATGGTGGGACCCATTTGTGTGTTGATTATCGACAACTGAATAAGTTGACGATAAAGAATAAGCATCTACTTCCGAGGATCGATGATTTGATGGATCAACTAAGGGGAGCTTCAGTGTTTTCGAAGATTGATTTGAGATCTGGATACCATCAAATCAGGGTGAAGGAGAGTGACATACCAAAGACTACTTTCAGGACTAGGTATGGTCACTATGAGTATGTAGTGATGCCTTTCGGTGTCACTAATGCTGATCAGGTTCCACTTGGTGAATCCTCAAAGAAAACCTTCTAATCCTTCTTGGCTCTTTGGAAGTATGGCAAGGAAGGAAACTCCAAGAAGAATCAATGTGACCTATGCTTTGACCAAGCTAAGTCCGGAAGAAGTATGGCAACCTAGCTCTACAAAAAGAGGAGCTCAAGTAGGGTAGAGGTAGGTTGTGTGAGAAACTTTCGGAGGGGAGAGAGTTCAAAGATAGAAATCTCATTCATAAATTCCAAAAGTGACTACAATTCTCGGCCATATAGAATTTATAGGAAAAATTAGGTTAAGGTGAACCATGGGTTAGCCTAAGGTTAAGTGAAACCATGGTATGGTTTACTTAACCTTAGGCGCCCAAAATTTGAATTCAAAATTCCAATTTTGGAGCCAAACCTGGACACCACCCATGTGCACTTCATTTGGAATGTAATTTGTCATCCATTTGAGTTGCATTTCGGTCACACCATGTGCATGTGTGCACATGGCCGAAATGCATTCCAAATGCAAGGCTAATTACATTCTAATGAATATACACATGCAACCCTAATTAAACCTTAAATTCAAATGACCATGAAATGAAATTCCTAGTCTAAGTGGCCGAAATACAAGGCCTAAAAGAAAATACAAGCCCTAAGGCCCAAACCTACACTACTCCTACTCTACTTG